CGACTGAGTTAAGGTGCATATCGTCTCGGAGAAAAGGTAAAAATTCATTAGGCATTTGCTTATATATGCCTATGCGCTTTCATTATATTTATTATACCGAGAATTACAAAAACAAGTAACCACTGGTTTCATCTGTTAATAATCGGTTTCTATCGGTTAATTGCTTGTAAGTGATTCGGTTCCCTTTTACTTTTTGATCTTCAATTTCATAAACACTCGTCTATCAATGTTTATTTTCTTTAATTGCCGTAATTCGAGTATTGTGATACAGATAATAAGTAGCGAGAGTTTATAAATAGAAATGAAAACGTGATTTAAAATCGCTAAACGACAAACGGGGGCAAATACTTGCTGTACTTGCACCGCCCAATGAAATCAAAACACAGCTTCATTTCTTTCGATTAGAGCGAAATCGTGCAAACACCTAACAACAAATGCGAGATTGTTTAGCGAAGAAGATTCAATCAGTAAATAACGACTAATAAATCCTTTATGAAATCTTGCCAAGAAGTTCAGAAAAATTGCTAAAGCGAAGCATATCTTCAGTACGTAAACTTTTATGAAACGCTGCGGATAGATTAATATTCAGTAGTTGTTTAATTGAATTAATTAGGTTTTAGTTTTCAATTCCTTTGCCTTTTACGGAGTAATATAAGTGCTACCATAAGCTGATGATTGCTTTAGTTTTTCGTTAATTTTTTTTTTTTTTTGTTTATTTGTACATCAGTCATTTCTACAAAGTTTCACTGATAAGCAAGAATTTTTAGTTAATAAAGTAGAGGTGTGTCAGCTGTTGCTTGTAGACAACAGATTGCAAATTATTTCACTGACTTGAAATAATAATTTAGTAATTAACTCATTTCATGGACACATAAACAAATAAAAAAAAAATCTTTCTTTTTTATTATCATATTTGAAATAATAATGAAATTTTAGAAAAATCTCGAAACGGTTGCATTTTTCGTGATCCATTAATCTACTGGTTCTTATAAGTTATAATATAGTCAAGTGATAACCCCTTCGTGTTTTTCGCACTTTATACCTTCTTTTAATAGAATATCATAACAAAATGAATTGCATATGGATTCATAAATATATTTTATAGCAAATTATCAATTTATTGATATTTTTTATTAAAGAAAATATTTATTGTTCTATTTATTTAAGTTTATCACTATCATAATATATATATATATATGATTCAATTTCGATAACCAATCGACTATTAATAATCATTAAATGTTATTGCAGTTCAAAAGAACACCTGGAGTAAAAATTTTCATTCATATGTTAATATAAATATTTTTTTTATTTTTTTTTTTGTTTTTAACAATAAATTAAATTCCTGAGGCATATTGATTGATATTGAACCTAAGAAAGAATATGAGGAAATTTTCAATATTCCTATTCTCTAAAAGATGTTAAGGATTTGTTACATACATAAAAATCTTCAGGGACTTTATCTCATTCCATAACTTTCGGTCAGTTTTGTTCTTATATATATATATATATATATATAATGTGCAAATTGGGATCTTGTGTAGCCATTAACAAATCATCCAAACAGTCTGGCAGAAAGAAATGACACTGTGATGATTTAAAATTCTGCCGCTAATTACTCTTGCTTTCTAATGAGCAGTTATATAGTACGTCTCAAATTATAAAAATGGTCGGAATATATATCTTTGTTTTTACTGACATATCTGGACTTTTCCTTGGATTATCAATGATTCAACTCTGAGGCTATTACGCTATCCAGCCGCAACCGTTTGCGGCGCACAATGTTTTTTCAACCTCACCAAATATATGGATAAAGGGTTTAGGGGCTCAACATGGTTCTTGCTGCCTACACTTCACCTTATCCTCCTTTCCAGGTCGGTCCTTGTTGTACGTTGTCACCGCAAACTCTGCAGTTTTGTTCATAAAGTTTCGTCATTCAAAAATAATTTCAAACTTGTTCACAAGAGATTAGCAGATAAACATTTCTCCGGGTGGGTTTGTGTGTAATGCCAAGCGACATCCAAAACCCAAGCATTTTTTCTAGCCGGCTTTCCTCACAAGGTTTAATATCGATTGGTAATGCAACCCTTGGCGATGTCAAGATTCAAAATTCACCCTATGCGACACTTTTTTAGGGAGTTTGGGGGACTATCGATGAACAGTGTTTACGTGCGTCAAGAGTCTTGAACGTCCAAAGCCAATAGTGTCACTAGTTTTGGGCGTATTTTTATCGGCACAAAATCGTAAAATCTGACACTATTTATTAGTATATTTACTTACCTTCACGCTGTAATATTTTACGTGTCAGTACAAGAACTACAATGCTATTGCGCATATACTTCAAATGTCAACCGTAACATTTACGTTCGTGTTGAGTTATGCCGGCATTTAGAAGACTTTTACGCGCTCATGAAAAATGAAAAGAAATAATTTAACAAAATTAAAGAAATATTTTACCGAAACTAATCTCTGACTTTGCCAAGGTTCAGGAAAAAACTTTGTTTTCCCTCTGGAAATTTTTCATTTAGCGAACCATCTACTAATGACTCCATGCACTTTTCGAAGAAGAAGAAAAACTCTTAAGAAAATATTTCAAACCAACATAAACTGATGTTTTCGAAACGAATAATAATTTAGAGGACTCATGCAAGTGTTAATCTATGAACAAAGATCGTGGATATGTAGTTGCATATTAAAAGAGGTGAGTAGATTGATTGATCGCTGCATTGTTGACATAACTGTCAGATATTTTTATCTGGCAACACCTTAAATACAATAAAGTATTAAACTTTGCATCTGACGATTCTTATAGAGAAAATAATGTAAATGAAAATTTAGGAAGAAACACTCGTGCTTAAGATAAATTAGTATTTTTCTACTCCGTAGATCGCAATAATGATACGCCATTACAGCTTCAGTCGTTTATGAGAAAAACAGAGTGGCAGTGGTGATATCGGTCGAGTCGTGTCGTAAATAGATTTCTTAAAATCTTCGTGACAAAAGATTTTATGAATTTGACGACGAAAAAGCTATGGTTAAGAGCCACGTCATTTAAAATGAATGAAAAACTTATCAGCCAAATCATCTCGATGTAGCAAAATTTTGTGTCGCAAGGAATTAAAACGGACAGACGGACAGACAAGGTTGGTGTGGGTGTATAACTGTGGGTCTATCTTAAGTCCTTCTGGCTGCGGCATAAATTGGCACAAACTTGATATATTGTTGTGCCACAAGTGCACTTGAGAAAACATCTCCCATTCGTTGAATACTTACAGTTTTTCTTGTTTGTCTTGCAATAATAATAATGAAATATGATAGAAGAAAACTAATTATTCATTTTTACACATGTTTTATTTTATAACATTATTGCTGGAGAAGGGAAGAAAAACATTAAAAGCCAGACATTCACACTTAAATACATTTTAATTAAAGGAAAATTTATTACAATACGCTTACACAAAATATCTATACATTCACGCTTACAATAATAAAAATCAGTCTGAAATTTTCTTTTAATCTATATCCTTTTCTCATATTTTCTTAATGCGGTCCTTTAAGCCTTGCAATTCATTGGCTATCGGTTGAGGTAAATGCTTTCCAACTTGTATACTGAAAAATTCTTCAATTTCTTTAATTTCTTGTTGCCAGAAATCTTTTGGTATATCAAATAATTGTTCTAGTTCAACGTTTCCTTTCAAACCGTCCATATTTAATGAATTATCGCTTGGTAATAAACCAATGGGCGAATCTTTATAGCAAGGTTCGCCTTCAACACGACGAAAGATCCAATCGAGTACGCGAGAATTTTCGCCAAAACCGGGCCAAAGGAATTGACCGTCTGCGTTTTTCCGGAACCAATTGACATGGAAAATTTTTGGTACTTTACCGCGTGATTTCATGCTTAGCCAATGGCTTAGGTAATCACCGAAATTGTAACCAAAGAAGGGACGCATAGCGAACGGATCGTGCATTATCACTTTGGCTTTGTGTTCGGCAGCAGCGGTAGCTTCACTGCGCATAGCGGCACCCATAAAAACGCCATGATCCCAATTATAAGCTTCATAGACTAAAGGAACACCGACCGGTCTTCGACCGCCAAAGAGTATAGCACTGATAGGCACGCCCTCCGGATCTTCCCAAGATGGATCGATAATGGGGCACTGAGTAGCCGGTGTACAGAAACGTGAATTGGGATGAGCAGCCAATTTACCCGAATCTGGGGACCAAGGCTTGCCAAGCCAATCGGTTATTGTTAAACCCTTGTGCAAGTCCTTGCTCATGCCCTCCCAAAATACACCTCCTTCCGACGTAGAGGCAACATTTGTAAACACGGAATTGCGAAATATAGTTTTCATGGCTATTGGATTCGTGGATACCGATGTGCCTGGAGCTACGCCAAAGAAACCATTTTCGGGATTAATGGCTCTTAAAACTCCATTATTATCGAATTTCATCCAGGCTATATCATCGCCCACACACTCCACCTTATAGCCTGGTAGCGTGGGTGTCATCATTGCTAAATTGGTTTTACCGCAAGCTGAAGGGAAAGCTGCCGCAATATAAATCTTTCTGCCCTCAGGATTTGTTATGCCCAATATGAGCATGTGCTCAGCTAGCCATCCTTCGCGCTGGGCGATTGTGCTACCAATACGCAAAGCAAAACATTTCTTTCCCAATAAAGAGTTTCCACCATAACCCGAACCATATGAAATAATTTCATTATTGGCGGGACTATGCAATATTATAGTACGTTCCGGATCGCAAGGCCACGAAGGCATCGAAATGCCGCCCGTTTTAGGCGTACCCACCGAATGTAAACATTTCACAAATTCCCCTTGAGTTCGGTGCAATTCCTCTAAAACTTTTGTACCAGCCCGTGTCATTATTTTCATTGACTCCACTACATAAGGTGAATCGGTAATCTCTACACCTATCTTAGATAAGGGTGAACCGACCGGACCCATTGAAAATGGTATAACGTACATAATGCGACTCTTCATGCAGCCCGGAAAACGTTCCTTAATAGCTTTGTGCATATCATCGGGTGATATCCAATTTCCCAAAATGCCCGGTTTGTCATGTGAGGTAACCGGAACGGCTTGTTCCTTTTCCCGTGTGCATATAAAAGTACGCGATTCAACTCTGGCAACGTCAGCAGGATTGGTGCGTGCCAACCAACAGTTCTCGTATTTAGTTAAGGGTATAATGGTTCTTTGCTTTAGCATAAGCTGTTGCAACATCGTACTCTCTTCTATGCTACCGTCACAGATGTGTATCTTTGCCGGTTGGCAAAGATCAGCGCAATCTTCCACATAGGTTTTCACAGCGCTAGTAAGTTGCGAGGGATGTCCATACTGAAAGCTGGTAAAGGAACGTAACAACAGACGCAACTTATATTGCGGGATGGAGAAGTTTAAACTAAAAATATAATAAAAAGCAAAAAAAGAAAAAAATTTATTTTAAAAGTATCTTAAGAAACTGTACATTTTATTTCTTAAGAAAGTCAAAAGAAACGAAAAATTCCACTATTCAACTAAAAAAACTCACTGGCTACGAAACTGATATCAAAACAAAGCAAAAACAGAAACCCTATTAAATAAAAAACAAAACAAAGAAAATAAATGCTATAGGAACGCAACGATCATCTATTGCTGTTGTTGTCGTTGTTGTTTTTGTTTCTTTTTTAACAAAAAATGAAAAAGCAAATAACAAAACACATGTTAAACTTTAAAATAAACATAAAAAAAAAAGAAAACATGTACATATGTGTGTGTGTTATTGACTGTGCATGCAAAGTCAGATAACAGCTGAATATACACAAAATGCAAAGCAAAGGAAAAGGGGATCGTCAAAGCATGTGAAATGTGTATTGTCATCGGTATATGTCAACATTACAAATAGAGGCTTGTCTCAAATAATTGCGAGAATGAGTGTACATACACGCACACACACACGCACATACATGCATGCATGCATGCATGCATACAACTTTTTGTACTTGGTATTATTTGTTTTTATTAGATATTTCATCATCTACTTTTATCGCCTTCACCTACTCTATGCAATATTTTTATAGAAATCTCTTTACAAATTCCACTTAAGATCGATGGTAATAATGCTCTCATTTCCTTAAAACTAAAAATTTATTAAAAGAGAAATAGATTTAATTTTTGAAAAATGAAAATATATGTAAATAGTACATTGAACTCGATGTTATGGCTGTTGTTTAATATCATGTCAGACGATTATCGCTTCATTTCTTTTGTTATATTTTTCGAATCTGAGACCAAAAGCACAATTTTTTGCTTTAGAAATACATAACATGCTTTCATATAAAGCTTTTTCAAAAAAAAAAAAATTTGTTCACATAAATAAGTTTTCTTTTTGTACGCTACACGATTGGTGGTACAGTGTAAGTTAGATTTTTGCCTATGTCTATGACAACTGGGTTTACGAGAAACTCAACCGATCGGTTCAGAATCATTTCCTGAATCATTTTAAGCATGTCTTTATGTTCATCTATTCCATGGTTTGCTTTGATAAAGAACGCTAGTAACAATCGATTTAGTCCGATTACTTCCAGCGACTACTTCCCATAGATATAGTGCCCTATAGTGTAAAAAATTTGGTCTTTAGTATTTTTGATCTAAATTTTTCCATAATATTAATTTGATATAAAACTCAATTGTATCACATTTGAATCGCCGGAGTCTACTTTTGAAAACCCTGTTTAGGTTTAATTAGAAAACTATTAAGATTTTAAAAGAAAGACTTTAAAATGCACAAAATCTAATATTAAAGAATCACGAGAATAGGCGAAAAATAATAACATCTACGACAAGAATTTGCATTTTGCTAAACTTGGACTACATCAGTACGAAGCTCAAACCGCCTCACCTATAAAGGCTACAAACAAAATTGTCCTTTCATATTGGAAAAGAAGGTGTAATTTTCGCCATTTTATAACGAAAGTGAATAAACAACTGGGATCAGCGAAATGGTGCAGGTTATTTAATGGTCGAGCTTACCCAGATAAAATTTTTTAATTTAATTTCTTTAAAATTTTTACTGCTCGTCAATTGCTTCGTAGACATTCCGTGCGCACACAGTTTTCCAATCTACTGATAAATATTCAAATTCATATCTGCACATATTTCTATTCTTATTCATATTCATAATCATATTTATATTCATATTGATATTCCTATTCATATTCGTATTCATATTTTTATTCATATTCTTATTCATATTCATAATCATATTTATTTATTCATATTGATATTCCTATTCTTACTCATATTCGTATTCATATTCGTATTCATATTCGTATTCATATTCTTATTCATATTCATAGCCATATTCGTAGTCAGTTTCATATTCATATCCATATTCTTATTCATGTTCAGTTTCATATTCATAATCATATTCATATCCATATTCATATTCAGTTTCATGTTCATATCCATATTCATACTCAGTTTCATATTCATATCCATATTCATATTCATATTAATATTCGTATTCATATTCATATCAGTGTTCAATTCGTATGTATAATCATAGTCACACTCACATTCAAATTCATATTAATATTCGTATTCATATTCATATCAGTGTTCAATTCGTATGTATAGTCATATTCACACTCACATTCAAATTCATATTCATACTCATACATGTACTCTTATTAATATATTTTGTTGGAAGATTTCTAACGTATTCATGCAAACGCTAACTTGTTTTGTTTTGCTGATTGAATATTTAAATAACAAACTGACGAACTTTTTCTTATTATCAAATGTTTTTAAGAGAATTAAATATTCGACTATACATATAAATTCGACTTTCCTATGTAACAGTTACACTTTCCAGAACGATTACGAAAGGAGAGCATACGCATAATTTTTTTTATTCTTATTTATGATTCAATAAGTTCGTAGAATTACTAATAGAACAACAACTTTTAACCGAAATTCGACCTTGTAAATGTATTGAGAATAAACACAACAGCTGGTGTGTTGCGATTCTAATCACACTAGAAATTCGTCTACTGACGTAAGATGTGATGATTTTACATGACATTTAGGAGTAACTAAAGTTAAGATGCGTAGATTAATACCTAGAGCATAGATTTCCTAAAAATTTTGACAATTTGTACCAGGTTAGTGGTCTCTGATTCAGGAACTTTACTAGGTATGCGTAGAATAATTTTTTTTTAACTTACTTTTCCATATGAATCTCATGGTTATGCTTAAGGAAAGAGTTCGAATATTTTTTATTAATTATTGTAATATTTTAAATCGGTTGCCAAACTTCCAAAGAATTAACTAAACATATTTTATCTCGTTTACATTTGAGTACACTTTTCTTTACTTTTTACTGTACTTTATTTTCACCTCTCTCCAGCATTTCCTTTCCTTCTCTATCTCCGGTCTACTCTAGTATCTTTAGTTAGTTTAAGACATCCGCGATCGCTAACGTGAATTCACGTTACTTAAAATTCCTTTCGCTGATTGTTGTTCACGTCAGTTTACGTCCAGCAAATTTGCTTTCTAAGGGTGACGCTTTTTCGGTGACACCTGTGGGAAAGTCTCAGTTGGGTTACTAAGGCAAATACTTGCCGGGCGCGATTATGTTTACTTCTATCGAGTATTATACCGATCGATTCGTAGTCACACTTTAAGCTTGTTTGCCCGTCTGTCCGTTTTGTTTTCTTGTCTCTATCTCACAAGGTGTAACTTTTCAGAGATTTTGACGAACGTCTTTTGATCCAAGGATGAAAGCTATTGAAAATAGTTCATATCGGATCACTTTTGCAACTTATTTTGAGGAGTTCTTATATAGATAATTCTATTAAGCTAAATAATGTAGGGTGTTTAATAGTAGGCCATCTCTCACTATAGCATTTTTATTTGCTTCAAAATATTTTTTTTCCTCACCCAATATTGTTATTCTTTGAAGTTTCCTTTTATCCCAAAAAAATTATCAAATATCTTCATCTTAATGCAGATTTTAATTTTGTAGGTTTTGATCAACTTGCGATTATTAGGTGATTTATGGACTTCTGACTCGTGACGCGACCGTTAGTCAAAAGAAACTTTAAAGCATTAAGTGTGCCTAACAAGAATGAATGCGTAAGGGTTGACGGAACGAGTATAATTTTTTTGTTTTTTTTTTCTTCCTTACTTGAACTTCTAATTGAAGAAAAAATAAATTACTAATCTTAATGCGTTTCGAAATCATAAATATTGAAATAAAAGAAAGAGAGAACAAAAACTTGAAATTAACTTGAAACACACTACAGTTGACCGTTTATCGTAGTCAAACTGGTAGAAACTGGTAAAAATTTTTAAATATATATTAATATTTGTATTATATGTGTATATATACTACATACACTTATACATAACTATGAATATTAAATACTTATCACATTCTTATTTAATCTATATGTTTCGAAATATGCGCAGATTTTTGCTTAAATGCGCATAAATAGCAAATTATTCTGCTCAGCAATATGAACAATGGGCAGTAAAATCGAGTACATATAGATCGATATGGGACTATACAGCATTAATATACGGAATTGCATAGGGGGCGTTAAATTTTTACTTCCGAATCACAAAGGCAAAAAGTCATAGATGAACTACACACATCGACATCGATGCGGAATATTCATCGACTTAAAGTTATGCTATGCATATGGTGGGATTAGCGAGATGTAGTCTATTACGATCTGCAGAATCGTAATGAAACTGTCATTGTAGACGTCTACCGACGCAAATTGAATAACTTGGACGATGTATTGCTGTAAAAAGGGGCTAGCAATAGCGGCTTCAAAGGCCAACACACGAATTGCCTGAAAATGTCATTTCGTCCACACGTTGCAGGAGTTGTCAAGAATGGACTGTTCTAGCTCGAATGGGAAGTGCTGCTGCTCCAAGCGTACTCAGTGGACATAGCGCCTTCTGATTACCACTTGTTCAGATCGATGCAGCATGGTTCGGCTAGCACGCGGTTGCGAAATGCTGAAGAAGTGGGAGAATGGATCGATGATTGGATCGCGGTCAAATCAATATCGTTCTTTCAACACGGTATTGTTATTTTGTCAGAAAGATGGCGAAAAGTTGTAGAAAATGATGAAAAATATTTCTATTTATATATATTGTAACAATTTTTGGCAATAAATGCCTTTTTCAATTGAAAAAATGATCAAAGTACATGCAAGCACCTGATAAATGATAAGTAAGCGATTAAAGTATAAATTGGATCAGAAAGACACGCGTGATGTCTCTTAGCTAGATGTATACAAGCTTTCTTCTCTCTCTTCTTGCTTCTTATTTGTTTATGGATTCTTTCATTTAAGTTCTTCTTTTTTTCGATTTAAAAATTTTTATAGAGATTGAGATAGCAGCTTT